AGGAAGGACCCCTAAGGTCAACCAAGCACACCAACTCTGAGGAATGCAAAGGGGATGGTGAAAGGAGATAGTGGAGGGGGCGGGTGGGGAAGAAGGGTGGGAGATAGGTAAGCTGGTAGCACACAGGGGGAGAAAGAGAAGGTGATGGGACTGGTTGAGCGGGCACAGAGTGACAATTGGGTTCAGTTCCTTGGGGGTCCTGTCTCCTGGAACTCAGCCTGAGCAGTGTCTTGTCTGGTCTGTGGGTGGGAAGGGGCTGGGCCTCTGGGCTGGTGTGGATAGGAGAGGAGGTGGGCTATGAGAAAAGGGAGAAGGGCAGCCCTGTGCTCCAGTGCCTGAGCGGGGGCTGACCAGAGGAACTGGGCCCAGGCCTGAGAGGAACCAAGGAGGAGGGCCAGGGTCTGAGGCCGCCTGCCCGGCTCACAAATATTTAGCTTTCAGCCAAAGACAAACTCAGCTCTATTTTGGGAGTGGGAGGCTCCAGGGCGGACTGGGCCACTTCCCCTCCAGGCTGGGACCCCAGCATCTCTTTCCTCTGGCACTGGGCATGGAGGGAACTAGGGTACCAGTGGGGTCAGGATTTAGGGGTCTTGAGAAATCACTGATTCTACCAGGGCTCCTGAGGGAATCATGGCACATAGTTGGAAAGGGGGACTCAGCAATCCAGAGCCTGTTTTATAACGTCCTGAGTTTTCTCCGCTTCTCGGCCTCTGACTCTGTTTCTCAGTCACCATCTCTGACCTGCTGTCTGGGTCCCACCACAGGAATTTGTAGCCAGAGAGCCCTCCCTTAAAGCCGACCTCCTTACGTGGCCTTGAATCGTCCATATCCTTGGGCACCTCAGAAGCCCCCATGGCTGTCTCCTGTGCCCTAGCTCAGATCCCAGGGGTGATGGGCCAAACAGGAAGCCAACTCATTCAGCCTGCAGGCGTGTGTGAGATGGCACCGGAGTCTTAATGCCTGTGTTTATTGGCCTGAGTGTAAGTGTTAGAATGTAAAGCAGTCACTGCATGCGTGGCTGGCTTTTAGAGAGCACAGGGGTGTGTGTGTGTGTGTGTGTGTAAGCTGGGACATATTTGTGAGTCCAGGTGGGGAATGGTGTATGTGTAAGGCTGAGAGAGAGTTTGTGACTGAATTTGAGGGAATGACATACAAGCTAATGGGGTGGACGCCATGTCCCTTGTCAGTGCTCTGTACCCAGTCAGGAGTCCCAAGTGTTGCAATGAGAGCAAACTGCTCTCCCTGTCATCTCTCCACTAGACTCTATATTGAGCCATCATTGAAACACCGGTTGGTCTTGAGGAAGCAGGAGGACTAAGGTGCATGGAAATCCTGGGTCCACCCAAGACAGGGGCAGTGTCAGTGGGTGTGGGCGTCACACCAGAGTTGCCAGCGTGGCACTGGTGCCTGGGGGAAAGGGACCCAAAGGCCTGCTGGAAAGACAACAGACTGGGATAGCACTTGGCAAGAGGAATGTGCCATGAAAACTGGGTTTCCATGTCCCTCACTCCCTGTGAGCTGGAGATGTTCCAACATAAAGGCATTCCAGTCCCTCTGTGTCTTTTACCAATTTGGGGGCACCTGGGCCCTCAACTTTCCTTCCCCTTCTCTGCAGCCACCACCACCAGGAAGCCCTCAGCCTGGTATGGGTGGGATCTTTTAAAAAAAAAAAAAATATATATATATATATATTTAAATATATTATATTGATTTTTTACAGAGAGGAAGGGAGAGGGATAGAGAGTCAGAAACATCGGATGAGAGAGAAACATCAATCAGCTGCCTCCTGCACACTCCCCACTGGGGATGTGCCCGCAACCAAGGTATATGCCCCCGACCAGAATCGAACCTGGGACCCCTCAGTCCGCAGGCCGACGCTCTATCCACTGAGCCAAACCAGCTAGGGCTTTAAAATATATTTTATTGATTTTTTACAGAGAGGAAGAGAGAAGGATAGAGAGTTAGAAACATCGATGAGAGAGAAACATCCATCAGCTGCCTCCTGCACACCCCCCACTGGGGATGTGCCCGCAACCGAGGCACATGCTCTTGACCGGAATTGAACCTGGGATCTCTCAGTCTGCAGGACGACGTTCTATCCACAGAGCCAAACCGGTTAGGGCTGGGTGGGATCTTTGACAGTGGGAAGAACTTGGGGTTCAGACAGGGAAGCAGTGGCTGCTTGCTGGGAAGCTCACCTGGCCTGAGTGAGATGCAGGAAAACAGGGAGGAGGGGGACATGGCGGTCAGGGCCAGGTGGAGATGGAGAATTGGAAGTTGGGAGAACTAAACATCTTGGGAGGAGGTTGAGAAAGTGGACAACTGGAAACTGGGACAACCGGGACCTCGGGTGCTCAGGACCTATGGCCAGTCCGTCCTCAGATGCACAGTGAGCGAATAATCCAGTGGGAGGTCAGCCTGGCGCTGTGAACACCTTCCCAGCCGCACATCTGGCGGAGAGAGCTGGGACAGCTCCTCTTGTTCCTCCTTCAGAGGTCCCCCTCCAAACTTGAAGTCTGCTGGGGTTGTTGTTTAAGGAATAGCGGGTGGGAGAAGGGAGGCGGAAAAACAATTGGAAGGTAAGACTCCTGGGCCCTGAAAAGGTCATGCGTTTGATTAGGTATGAGGGCTCATATTTAGAACCCCTCTCCAGGACCGTCTCCCCACTTCTCCGGAGAGCGCAAGCAGCCAGAGAAGGAAACCGAGTCTATGGTTAAACAGCCAGGGGCCCAGCTCCTGGCTCCTAGAACAGCCTGAGCGGGCCTGACGTCTCACTCCCCTTTTCTCGCCTCCAGGGCCGGGGTCTCTTGTTGGCCTGGGGCTGCTTGCCTTCTTTCACCCCTCCTCCCCTCCCCACAGCTGGGTGGGGTCCCTGGGCTTGGCTGAGGCCCCTGTGGCCACAGTGTGAGGGCCGGGCGGGGGACGGCGTCGGCGTTTTTAAAAATAAACCGACCGCAGGGAAACCAACTGGAGCCGGCCGGGGCTGGGCAGAGGGGGAGGGGGCGGTCAGGGGGAGAAGGCGGGAGAAGCGGCCTGGTCTGGGGGTGTTTGGGGCCCAGCACCGCGGTGGTTTTCTTAGGTAGGAAATCTGCTTTCTTCCCTCCCCTCCTCCTCCCTTTTCTCTTCCTCCTTTTCCTTTCTGTTTTCCTTTGCCTTCCTAGCCCAGTCTCTTTCCATCACCTCTTTGTTTATACTGGTTTCCTCTAGCTCCCTCCCTTTTGTCTTTCCACCTTTCTGCTCTTTTGGGTCCCTGCGGGTTCTGCCCCAAAGCCAGTTTCCCCTCTGTTTCCCTTCCCCCACCTCTGGGGGCTTTTACGTCAGTTCCTCGCCCTGTGCCCGGTGCTGGGCTCCCGCATCTCTGCGTCTCTGCGTCTCTGCGTCTCTGCGTCTCTGCGTCTCTGCCTCTCCCCTCCCTACTCCATGTTTCTCGCTCCCTTTCTGCTGGGACCCTGCTCCTGCCCCAGCTGCTACCCCGCCTCAGCCCACCCTCTGCTTGGGGCACCAGAGGCTCCAGGGGAACCCTGGCTGGGAAGCACCAGGGCTTTCATCGGGGCCAGATCTGAGGAAGGTTTTGGTGCCTCAGATTTGGGAGTCCATGTCCATGGGGTAGTTGGGCAGGGGGAGCATCAGGTTTGCACTTGGGGAGCAGTGCACGAGTGTTGACTGCACACGCCCTTCACTGCAACACCAAGACCCTGCCTAGCCCTGCCTTGAGGATTGGTGTCACACACACACATGCTGGCAGGCAGGTCTGGGAACCCTGGGCGCCTGGGTTCCTTTTCAGCTTTACTGAAGGCACCACCAAGTACATTGGCTTTTGAGGATCCCAGTCAGGGAACTGTCCAGGGTCAGCCTTTGAGGACATCTTTTTTGGGGGCGGTGGGATGCTCAGTAATGGATGCCTATCTATGCCAGCCAGGAATTCTGGAGGGCACCTCCTCCAGGCTGTCCCAGGGAGGAGTGCCAGGCTCCTGAGGGAGGACTAGTCTGGTAGCAACAGCAGGATGGGCATTAAGGCGTTCTTGAAGACCCTCATGCCCCACATCTACATAGCTTTCTTCACTCACTGAAGGGTGAAGAGAGACCAGCTACTTGGGCTGTGGGCTAGGTGTTCGGGGACACTGAGGCATGGAGGAGTGTGGCTGTGAGCCTGTATCACAGCCACCCCAATTTCTTACCCCGGAGGGGCATGAGGACTTCAAGCTCTTCCACCCCACAAAAGGGGTACCAGCTGGCTCCACGAAGCAGGAGGTGCCCACTGCCCGCTTGAAAGACATTCTTGCCTCAGCCACAGTCTTGGCTTGGCGGCAGCCCTGTTCCCTCTCAATGTCTCAGTGTCTCAGCCATCGCTTCCTCTTGCTCCCAAGGCTCAGAGTCCCTGCCAAGAGATTCCTTACCAGGGACATGAGGACAAGGCCTTGGGGAGACCGGCCTGGGCCACTGCCTTAGTCAGGAGCTGAAGTGGAGACAGGAAGTGAAATACGGGGTAATGCTGGGAAAATCTGGAATGGGGGTCACTACAGTCCCCTAATATTTTTCCTCCTTCCCAGGCTGCTCTTTGAGCCTCATCTTTCCTCCCCAAGTCCCTGACTATGGCCTCTGCTCCAGACCACTCCCAGGGATCAGGATCCCTAATTCTTACCTCATCCAGGTGTGGCAGCTCTTCTCCAGGCTCTTTAAGAGGCATCTCCTGTTTCTCTGAGGCCTTTGCCTACCCCCAGCTTCATCACAGTGAACCCCGCTTCTCGCCTCCTTAGCTGGGTGTTAAGCAGTAGTCTTGGCTTCTGCTCTCCTTCCACAATGCCGCCTGAGCCGTCCTGGGACCCAGTCCTTGCTGGCCCCTCTTCTTATCTCTACTTCCCCATTCCCTCCAATTCCTCCCTGACCCCTCTGTTCTCTTCTCCTTGTGTCGAGGTTGAAACCCTAGAGTTTACCATCTCTCTGCATTCTCCTCCTCTCCCCTAAGCAGTGCTTCCATATCTCCCCAGGAGGAAGCTCACTATGGCTCCAGTCCCCTGGCCATGCTGACGGCGGCGTGCAGCAAGTTTGGTGGCTCCAGCCCTCTGCGGGACTCAACAACACTGGGCAAAGCAGGCACAAAGAAACCGTACTCTGTGGGCAGTGACCTCTCCGCTCCGAAAACCATGGGGGATGCCTACCCAGCCCCCTTTTCAGGCACCAATGGGCTCCTCTCACCTGCAGGCAGTCCTCCAGCACCCACCTCGGGCTATGCCAATGACTACCCTCCCTTTTCTCACTCTTTCCCTGGGCCCACGGGCACCCAGGATCCTGGGCTCCTAGTGCCCAAGGGACACACTTCTTCTGACTGCCTGCCTAGTGTCTACACGTCTCTGGACATGGCACACCCCTATGGCTCCTGGTACAAGGCAGGCATCCATGCAGGCATCTCACCAGGCCCTGGCAATGCTCCTACACCTTGGTGGGACATGCACCCTGGGGGCAACTGGCTAGGAGGAGGGCAGGGCCAGGGTGATGGGCTGCAAGGGACACTGCCCACAGGCCCTGCCCAGCCTCCCTTGAACCCCCAGCTACCCACCTACCCAGCCGACTTTGCCCCCCTTAATCCAGCCCCCTACCCAGCTCCTCACCTTCTGCAACCAGGGCCTCAGCATGTCTTACCCCAAGATGTCTATAAATCCAAGGCAGTGGGCAATAGTGGGCAGCTGGAGGGGAGTGGTGGAGCCAAAACCCCTCGTGGCACAGGCACAGGGGGCAGTGGTGGCTATGGGGGCAGTGGAGCAGGGCGCTCCTCCTGTGACTGCCCTAACTGCCAGGAGATAGAGCGCCTGGGGGCAGCAGCAGCTGGGCTGCGGAAGAAGCCCATCCACAGCTGCCACATCCCGGGCTGTGGCAAGGTGTACGGCAAGGCCTCGCACCTGAAGGCACACTTACGCTGGCACACGGGCGAGAGGCCCTTCGTCTGCAATTGGCTCTTCTGTGGCAAGAGGTTCACCCGTTCGGACGAGCTGGAGCGCCACGTGCGCACTCACACCCGGGAGAAAAAGTTCACCTGCCTGCTCTGCTCCAAGCGCTTTACCCGGAGTGACCACCTGAGCAAACACCAGCGCACCCACGGCGAGCCAGGCCCGGGGCCCCCACCCAGCGGCTCCAAGGAGCTGGGGGAGGGCCGCAGCGTGGGGGAAGAGGAGGCCAACCAGACACCCCGACCTTCAGCTTCTCCGGCACCCCCAGAAAAAGCCCCGGAAGGCAGCCCGGAGCAGAGCAACCTGCTGGAGATCTGAGCTGGGTAGAGGGTCTCCAGTCCCAGGGCTGCTTGCCAGTCTCTCCTGGCTCCGTGGACCACTGCTTACCCCTCACTCCTTTGCCCCATGCATGCTGCCCTTTGGGGTGCTCTCCATCTCTCCCCTGGCTATTCTGAGCCTGGGTACCTCCCTGCATGCCTCCTCAGCTCCCCTCTTCCCTTTGCCATACGCCCATCCCATAAACTCTCATCTTAGGCCCTCACCTTGTGCCTGATTTCTGTATTCTGGCTTCCTAAACTCTTCTCTTGCCCTTGCTCACAGCTTCTCTCTCTTCTGCTCTTACCACACCAGTTCACTTTCCTTCCATGTGGACTCCCAACACTTTATTTTTCTATGTTATTAACTCCTTGACATCCATCCTTTCTGCTTCCCAAGCTTATTTACCACTATCCCTTTGCTTCCAGGCTCCAGTCTCCCCAAGTTCTTACTCCACTGCTGCCGGTGCTCCAGAGCATTCTTCCTTTTTACAAACACAATGATGATAACGATGATGATGATGATAATTTATTGCCCCCTGGTGGCCTCTTCATTAGGGACCAGAGTTAGGGGGATTGGGGTTAGTGACCTGGCAGGGAGCAGGGTACCAAAAGGGGGGCAGACCAGTGGGGATCTAATCCCAAAGATGGGGTGTCCCCAGGGTCAGGGAGGCTGCCCCCAGGCCTGTATATTTAACCCCTATGTTCCAAGAGAAATGAATACTAATAATAATAATAATTCTATTTATCTAAGTTATGATGACAGGTCAGGTAGAGTGAGCTGGGGAGGGGGGGGTGGAGGTCCATTTCTGCTATGGAAATTTAGGCAAATGCATCTCTGTATAGAAGTGTTAGTAGAGATCTTGTTAATAGAATTTCTATCATCAGGGTCTCAGTTAAAGGGGTTCCTCTTTTAGTGGAATCTGCTAATAGGGTTGGTTAGCTTGATCAATTAAAGAGTGATGGAGTATCTCTCAATTAGGGACTCCCTCATATTCCCACCCCCAGCCAGAAGCTGTGAAACTTCAAGTCCTATGGAGGGGGGAGGGGGGGACTGGAATTACCCCAGCTTCCTCAAACCCAGAACCAGTTCTTCCACTTCTCCTCCCCTGACCCCATGACCCCATCAGGCTAATCCCTTGTTGCCATGGTTATGGAGAATTTACAGCTGCCATTTTAGACAGGCTCATTGGAGAAGCCCACCTAACAGGAGGACATTGGTTTGGAGGCGCCTCTCCTGAAGAATAGGTGGGGAAGGCTTCTCTGGGATCAGATGACAATAAATCAAGTATTTATTGAGTGCCTACTCTGTGCAAGGCACTGGGAACAAGGCTGGTGCCTAGAGGCCATGGAAAAGAAGTTATAGAGCTAGGAGGACGTACTAGTAGGTCCCTAAGCTGATTTGGGGGCGTATAGAGGCCCCCAACCTGGGACTTTCGAGGCTCCCACCTCCAGTGACTTTAAAGCCGCTTCGTGCCTTCGAATACCTTTCCTGTGACTTTGGATCCTCCTTTTCTATCTCCTGCTCCCTCAAGGCCCCCAGTTAAAGGGTTAAAGCCGCTGGAGCTTGGGGAGAGGGTAATAAAATGGAAGGGAAGGGATCATGCCCTCATGGAGTCTTTTCTTCTTCTTTTTTTTAATTTAATAAATAAAAGTTCGATTTTAAACTTTGTCCTGGTGAGGAAAGGGGAATTGGAAGGGAGAAGGGTGAGCCACAGGATTCCTCCCTGGCCAGTCGGGGCCCCTCCTGGGCGCTCTCTGGAGCCGGTTTGCACATTCTGCCCGCGGGAGCCGCTCCGCCGCCAGCTCTCCGGCGGGGTCCGGGGGCCGCGGAGAGCTCTCCGCGGGTGGGAGGGCGGAGCGGCGTCTTCCTCTGCTCTTTCTCGGACTCGGCAGCCATGAGCCCTGCAGGCCCGGCGAGGGACCCGGACCCACACCGGCCCCAGACCTACCGGGGGGCGGCTCCCGCGGGCGCCCCGGCCTGGCACGCCACCCGCCCTGTCCCGGCCGCAATCAGCCGTGCCCGCCGCGGAGTTAGCGGAGGAACAAAAGCCACTCTGTGGCGGCCATCCCCCGGCCACAATAGGGCTTTGTGCGGCCTCACCCCCTAGGGCTCCCCTGCTGGACTAGGGGGGCCCCCGGGCCGCGCCCCCGGGCCCGGGCCCGACTGCAAGGGCGCCCCAGCCCACGGTCCCTCTCGCGGGCTCGGGAGCCGCGTGGCGGCGCCAGAGGGGGCGGGAGGAGGAGGGGGGCCGGGGGCGGCGTGTCCGAGGCGGCGAGCCGGGCGGTCTCGGGGTGCGAGCCCCCTCCCCACTCGGCCGCCCTCCGCCAGGTGCGAAATCTCCTGCCCTCCAGCGCGGCTTCAAAGACGCTTTGAAGAAATCCGCGTTCCGACATCTCGGGGGCCGGGCCGGGCCGGGGCGGGGGCGGGGGCGGGGGCCGCTGGAAGCCGCCCCCGAGAGGGGACCTGGAGTGGACCCCGGCCTCCGCCCCGCCCGCTCCGAGACCCCCCAGGGCCTGGCCCGCTCGCCTCCCGGCCTCCGCCTGCCCGGTGCCAGCTCCAGCCCGCCGCAGCCCCGCGGTCCTCCCCTCCCCAGCCCCTCGGCCCCTTTCATCTTCCCTAGACTCCGCTTGGGGTTTTGCTGGTTTCTGGGAGATAAAAACCGCCTCAAACAGCGGCGGCGCGCCGCCAGGACAAACAGGGCTGGGCGGGCCATGTGCGCCTGGTTACCGGCCCCGGCCGGGTCGCCGGGAAGGGGCGGCGGGCCGGGCTCCAAGCACCCGGGCTCCCGCGATGCCTCCCCAAGTGGGGGGCCCCTGTCAGAAGTCTCGGGCGCTGCCTCGGTTCCCCGCCCGGGTCGCCGGGGGTTGGCGGAGACCTCCCGCTAAGCGCTCCCTGCGCCCGGGGCTGTGGGTCACAGGCGCTGTGTCGCCGGGGCGTCGCGCCCCCTGGTGAGGTTCGCGGGGAGCGCGCGCGGCCTGGGCTTCCGTCTCCCTGGAATCTGCAAGTCGTGAAAACCGTTCTACCAACATCAAATAAGGAGTATGGGGAAGGCGGCGGCGGGAGGTGAACGCACAAAGCACAGTTCCTCCTGCCAGTGCCCATCACGGGTTGAGAGGCAAGCACCCACCCAATAATGACAACGCAACCTGTTGGGGGAAATCAGGCTTCCTCCAAGGGAGGTGGGAGTTGCAGGCCGAGGCCACAGTCATTTCTTGGGGGTATCTTCGGGGTGGATGGTGCCACGCCTGAGGCAAAACAAAATCTTTGCGGTGGGTTCTCAGCGCTTTCCACTAACTAATCTGTCAGAGTCACAGGCTCCTACCTCCAAGCCTGTCCTGCTTCCCCTGCCCAAGGAGAGCTTTCCCAACTAGCTCCCCAAAGGGTTTTTACATTATGCTCTTGAAGCCTTCTGTGACTTCCCAGGCTACAGGGAGCGGATCTAGCAAAGTGGTTCTGTGCAGTATCACCTGGGAGCTTTTTTGGAAATTTAGCTTCAGAGGTCCACTCAATCTGCATTTTAGCAAGATCCTCAGATGAGTCCTATGGCCATTAACATTCTAGAGTCCTTGTTTTCTGACCTGGGAATAACTCTTGGTAGAAAGGAGCAGCAGACACAGAAGCTAAGAATGCTAAACTATAATGCGCACTAGAGCCTCCCATAAGATGAGCAGTGTTTTTGTTTTTTTTTTAAATATATATTTTTTATTGATTTCAAAGAAGGAGAGGGAGAGATAGAAACATCAATGATGAAAGAGAATCACCTATCCGCTGCTGCCCCCTGCACGCCCCCCACTGGGGATCCAACCCACAACCCAGGCATGTGTCCTTGACTGGAATTGAACCTGGGACCCTTCAGTTCGCAAGCCAAAGCTCTCCAGCGGTTCTCAACCTGTGGGTCACGAACAATGAAAATACATCCTGCATATCAGATATTTACATTACGATTCATAACAGTAGAAAAATTACAGTTATGAAGTAGCAATGAAAATAATTTTATGGTTGGGGGTCACCACAACATGAGGAACTGTATTAAAGGGTCTCGGCATTAGGAAGGTTCACTGCATCCACTGAGCCAAACCGGCTAGAGTGAGATGAGCAGTTCTTGGGAGTGAGGACTGTGCCTCAAAAATTTCTCTGTCCCGCCCTTGCTGGTTTGGCTCAGTGGACAGAGCATCAGCCTGAGGACTGAAGGTTCTGGGTTCGATTCTGGTCAAGGGCACATGCCCGGGTTATACAGGCTCAATTCCCAGTAGGGGTTGTGCAGGAGGCAGCCGATCAATTCTCTCTCATCATTGATGTTTCTATGTCTCTCTCCCTCTCCCTTCCTCTATTATCAATAAAAATATATTTTTAAAAAATTTCTCTGTCCCCAGAGTATAGTCCTTGGAATTTGCTCATTAACATTTGTTAAATGGATGAACCAGTGCCTAAGTCGTCCAGTCCATGACAGTTATGGCTAATGATCTCTGATATCTGTTTAGCAGTTTATAATTTATTAAATGGCTTCATTTCTATTATTTTGAATGGGAAACAACCACATGACATAATGAGAACATTCTGCAAGTGAGGAAGCGGAGGCTTAAAGAACTCAATGATTTTTCCCAAGGTCATGTAGCTGTAAGCTGAGGAGCCCCCATTCTGCATTAGACTCCTTGGAGTTAGATGGAATAAGATCAATTTCGCTTTTATTCTAAAGTTAGAATGCCTGGTTGTGATATTTTTAGGTCAAATTTCTCAGTGTCTTGTTCTCATGGGGACAATTGTTGTAAAGATTATACAAGCGCTTATAATAAATGCTCAGGAAATGTTACTGTTTTCCAACTGTTTCCCCCTTTTCCTTCCAGGACGCCTAGCCCTGTGGGCCCTAGGTTCTGGCGGCCGCACTACTCGCTCTCAGTGACTTTTCTTCTCCTGGAGGCTTTCCAGCCCATGTGACCGTCTCTGTTTTCCTCGGTGCGATTCACAGTCCTGGGAGGGTTAAATGCGGTACTTTCCTGAACGTGGCTTAACTGGGGCTTTCCAAGCGCTGAGAGAGTGGGAAACGGCATTTGGGAATTCGGAACTGGGAAAAACAGCAGCCCCACAGGAAAAAAACAAAAACCTCCCAACTAGGGGTTGGCCCTACGGACGTGTCCGCGCCGTTTTCCCTCCAGCCGCCAGGCGGCGCGCGAGGAAGCGCTAGAAGTCTATTTCCACCCCCATCCCCACCCCGACTGCGCAAGCGTCCTTCTCCTGCGTTATTCTCTTCACTTCCGTTGAGCTTCACTTCGCTGTTTGTCCCAGGCGGCTACCCGTACGCATCCGAATCTAGCCCGGGAACCGAGAGAGCCGCTGCGTCCGCGAGTTTGCCGCTTCCGGACGTCTGCGGGACCGGCAAGATGTGCTCCCTCGGGTTGTTCCCTCCGCCTCCGCCTAGGGGCCAAGTCACCCTATACGAGCACAATAACGAGCTGGTGACAGGCAACAGCTACGAGAATCCTCCTCCCGACTTCCGGGGCCAGGTGGCCGGGGCGGGGAGGGCGGGACCTACAGGCTTGGGGCGGAGTCAGGGAGAAGCGGGGACCCGAGGCTGTGCGGCGGGGGCGGGGTTGGGGTTGCAGTCCCCACGTTGGCGCACTGGACGCTGCCTGGCCCGGGCTGGAGAAGGATAGAAGAGCAGGATGTATTTTAGGGCTGGGATTGGAGGATGAGGGGTGCTGAGAAGCTGGGGGCCAGGCCTACAGAGAGTGGAGAGGATGTGAGGGTGCAGGAGAAGTCCTGAGAAGTTGGGATCAGT